CCTTGGCACTCACACCTTGATATGTCTCCAACATATCATAATTTTAGAAGTATTCATGTTATATTCACATATACATTTTTTTGGCATGCTTTCCTATGATCTTTATCGGATATTAATCCAGTGCCAAGGCCATTTGTTGTTTTCTAGTGTTTTTATATGTTGTAGAAAATGATATTTTCAGATCTAGAAAAAATCAAATAAAAATATGTCAGCAAGGTTCGTAACCGAGAGGTCCCAATGGGCCTAGGCCCACTTGAGGGGCCCCAAGGCCTCCGCGTATCCCACCACGCGGCTAGAAGCCAGGCCGCATAGCGAGGTTTCCTTGTGGTGTCCTATTGCTATAGCTTCGTCCGGAAGGTTGTAAGCAACCCTATTTTTCTGTACGTTTTTGGATTCACGGAACTCCCGTGGCAAATAAAATAGTGACGGAACTAAGACTTCATCATCTAGAAAAATACTGCCCGAGAGATCCAGTCTTGGAGGAGAGCTCTCGCCCTCCAGGGGCCATGAACACCAAGAACTAGAGGGGGAAACCTCCTCCCAACTAGGTAGAAGGCCAAGGAAGAAGAATAAGGAGGAGGGGTCTCTCTCCCTCTCTTTCGATGGCGTAGGAGTGTTGCCGGTGGAATTATTATCACCGTCATTGTCTCCATCAATTTCACCACTATCTCTATCGCCATCTTCACCCTCTCTACAGTGGTCCATACATCCTTAAACCTTAGTGATCCCCTACTTGAACATGGTTTTTGATGCTATAATACCTCCCACAATAGGAGTACATATGAAGTATCATGCATGCCAACTAAGAAGTTAAGATGAGGTGGCATACAATTAAATGAAGGATGAGAGAGGATTGAGTATCATTATATGCTATTGTATCATATTAAATGGTGTGCTACTGTGTGTCATGCATGGCAATAAATGAGGTCGTCTATGATACTATTCACTATGGAGTATCATTTGCATGATACTAGCATATGATACTTCCCCCTGTGGGAGGTCTAAATTATTACTCCCTCCGTCCCATAATGTAAGACTTTTTTTGACACTACACTAGTGTAAAAAACATCTTAGTGTAGTTCAAAAAACGTCTTACATTATGGGACGGAGGGAGTATCAAATTATTTGTTGCATCATTATTAATGTTGGGTAGTTTTATTTTGTCTTTTGGCATTGGCGATCTATTATGATTGATATGAGTTGCGTGTTATGATATCGTAGATGAGTATAGGAGTTCATGCATATGGGATAAAGATGGCTCATAGTTCTTACTGCTATGGTTGGGTTTACCTTCATAAATTCTTAGAATTTAGGGATTCTTGCTAAGGTTTCAATCATAATAATTTTGTCAGTACAAGTACGAACAGTACATTAGCATAGCCTCTTCCACATATAAAACTGCAATGCATGATTATCGATCTAGTATCATGGTCATTGCCTAGGGACAATTCCGCAACAGCTACCACCACTACTCCACACATGCTTTCTTTTATTGTATTTCATATTTAAATTTCAGTACCTAACTTGAATTTAGTTGTACTCAAAATGTTGCACATCAGATCTTTTATACCTCCAACCCATATTTAGTTATTGCATCTACGTAAGGCAGACGTTCGGTGTACTAAAGGTTGTATCATTGGCAGATAGAACCTAAGAGAATATGATTACCCGCCTTCCGCTCCTTTGGGATTTCGACACTCCATACTTACCATCTCCACTTTGGAAAGTGCTACAATAACTCCCTATACTTGGGGATTATCACATCTCCCCAACGGAGGACTCCCCAAGAGTGTGAACTTTGGGATACACCATCTTCTCTAATTTGTGTAGTTAATCCTCTACTGTATGTTTATTTTGTGTTGGGCTTGCTAGCTGGCGCGTTGCCTTTGCTTATGTAGTTGCTAGTCTTTCCTCGTCATATAGGTTGTTCTCACACTATTGTGTATCTTGATAACTTGCGTTTATCCGCACTACCTTAAAGTGGAAGAAAAGCTAGAAATTTGTAGTCAGCTATTCACCCCCTCTAGTTGACCGCTTCAATACTTTCAATTGGTACAAGAGAAATTCTATTTCAAAGGGATTTACATCCTTAAGAGGAAGATGGGCGAAGAAGTGGAGGGAGATGGAATCCTGTCCTTCATCGATGATCCACCAGCAAACCTCGCAGCACCCATTCTCGTTGCCTCTGCAACCCCAGTGACACTTATGGAACTCATGACCTTGCTTCATTCCTTCAAAGGAACCATCTTGGAAGTGTTAGTAAAAACGTCAAGGAGGATTTGGGGACGAGCCAACTACCATCCACC